TCTAGTTAGTATGCAAACATGGATTACCACCACACAAAATCTGCAGATCACAAGTATTGGTAACCAGTTCAAAACAGTGGCAACTCAGTTTATGTCACGCGCGTTTTGTTTCACATCAGGCTCAAAAGGCCAATGTTGACTCCTACACATCAGGCCATTTGACATAAAGAGTAGACAAGTGGTATTTTTTGCAAAATCCTACAATCGACTGAACATTTGTAAAGTGCACCCAGGATTCACAGTTTTCATTTGCCAAACACGCAAATGAATTCCCTAACATTGTTATGGCACCATCACACACATGCAGCAGAAATGCTTGTGACTAGAGCCGTCAAAATTTGCCATATTTTGCTTTAGCCACAGCGTATCACAAATGTTCCTGCCATCGACTCACTTGTGCACTGGTAAGTACTGCACGAATGATAAACTGTGGTTGGGAATCCAGCATAGCACCTGCCCTTCTATCAGCGGTAAATTTAACTGGTAGTATTCAGCAGAGGATTGAAGGCTTATCCAAATCATCAGTTCTGCCTTTGTGAGAACTGAGAATTTTTCAATACTGACTCCTATTTCCCAATCGGAGGCAGGCTAGCAGCTGTTCTTCACTTCATGGTGCTCTCATTCACTATCGTGCAAGACTACCCAGTTGTTTCCTATTCACACAGTGTGATTTTGTCGATTGATCCGAACACGCTATATTGCAAGGTTATGGCGAATTCGCGGGTAGGGGTACCATATAACCAGACTGAGCTTCCTTACAATGTGCAAAATCTTGATACGTACGACCACATTCAAGCAGATCCTGGGTCATTCAGTGCAAACAAATGGTTGAAAACCTGTCCCGTTTCAGCTAAATTTGTTGCTTTTCTTCATTTGAGTAATGCAAAATTAGAAAACTCCAGTGAAAAATTACGAAACTGTTGCTTCGCATTGTGCACTCTGTTCCTTCCCCATTTCAAGTTCCTACACTGAATCATACATTTTGCACCTCTTTCGAAGAACAAATGCCGTGCTACGACATTCTTCTTCAAATTTTATCATACTCTGGAAACTTTTCTATCATAACACGTCTCAATACACGGTTCTTACCAGATTCCAACTGTGAGGGAGTTGGTGCACCTCAGTGATTGCCTTGTGAACAAAGACAATGCAATTCTTGTGACATTGCTTTTCCAATGTGATCCTTCAAAGTGGGGTTACACTGCATTTCGGTTGGAGTATAGGCCGCTGCGCCAGTCCGACCGCAGAACTAGATGAGGTTGTCAACGCAGTTGGATATGGAAGTGAGTGGAAAGCAAAGTGATTAAACGGTTAAATGTTTAGTGTGTTCAAAAGTGAGTGCCTCTATGACATTAGATGTGGTCTTCTTTTTACTTCATCACATCCCAATTACGAATTTGAAGCAAGGAGGAAAGAAGGTAAATTCTATAGTCAGCATTTTGCCATATTAGACTTGGTGTGGCAGAGTAGGTAGTCTCACCTGTCCTTACTTATCAAGCTACTCTTAAATGTAGCAGTGATAACAATTGAAATGGCCATTTGGAAAAGTGGAAAGAACTTCGAAACTGAAGTAAGCCTAGCCCTCCACGATGGGCGAATCATTAACTGATTGGCTGACTAGCAGCAAGGACAGATGATGTCATGACACATATCCGTTAAGAAGAGCAGAGGCGCTAGAGGTGCTGGAGAAGAGGAGACGAAAATTTTCTTCCTCTGGTAGAGAGTATTTGCAGATTGGGGGGGTAAAGTGGTGAAGACTAGCCATGCAAATTGGCAAATTCATGCGAACAATTAAGGTGGTCGTGTTTGATTGCTCGAATTTGACAAAAGAGGCACTTGAAAAAAGAGAAAAAGAAAGGTATCTTCTCACGCAAAATAGGCTACACTAAGTTAACTCTCAGAAGTTTATGCGAAGTAATTCAGGT